GAAATATTGAAAATGCATATCACCCTACTACTTCTCATTTGGTATCAAATTCAGAAACCCTAAATGAACATGAGAATAATCCTACAAATGTTTCTTCATTTCACTCACTTGAAACAACAAGGGAAAAAGAAAATCCCTCCAACTTTTTTGGAGGATCTGGTTTGATGCAAGGTGCATATTTTTTTTTATCTCATACTTATATTATTATTATATATAACATGTTATAAAGAATAATATTAAATGGTTTAATCTTTATAGGGGAAGCTTCACATGCAACAAATACATTTGATTTAAACTTGCAAGAGATTCACTTCACTCAATCTCATGATGAAGATCAAGTGGGATGCAATTTATACAATGAACAACCATATAATGTAAATCAAGGAGATAACATTAACAACACCACAAATATTTACACTTCTCATTTCTCTTCATCTGAGAGATTACTTGGTGTTCAAGAAAGGTTTCAAGATATACCTCAACAAGACAAAACAAATGTCTACACATCTCATTTTCAAGCTTCTGAGAGATTACCTGTTGTACAAGAAAGGTTTCAAGATGTAAATCAAGGAATTAACATCAACATCAACACAATCAACCCAATCAATACAAATATTTACACTTCTCCTTTGCTTCCTGTACAAGAAAGGTTTTCAGATCATGTAACTACTCAAAGAGACAACCCAAACAGTTACACTCCTCATTTCCCTGATACAGACAGATTACTTGGAGTACAAGAAAAGTTTCCACAAGGAGATAATGATAACATTAACACGAGTGGTTACACTTCTACTTTCCCTACTGCTGATACTTTGCTTGGTGTGCAAGAAAGGTTTCCACAAACAGATAACACGAATAATTACACTTCTTCTCAAATCTCTGCTCCAGATAGATTACTTGGTGTACAAGAAAGGTTTCAAGATCCAACTCAAGGAAACAAGTCAAACAATACAAATGTCTACCCTTCTTCTTCTTCTTCTTCTCATTTCGCTCCTGCTGAGAGATTGCTTGCTGTGCAAGAAAGGTTTTCAGATGCTGTGCTTCGTCAAAATACTACTACACCTGTTCAAGAAAATTTATCCAGGGGCGATGGTGGTCATTTTACAAGTGGAAAAAAAAGAAGTTTCAATGATAGCTCAATGATGTCACAAAGTATCAATTTTGGTGATCCTTCTGGTTTATTGACTACCAAAATAACTCCCCAATCTGTTCCAAATAATGATGATATTCTGTCATCCATTTTAGGTATGCAATAAAGCTCTTATCTTTTTTAATAAAAATTAAATTTCAGATTTAAAAAAATATATATATTTTTTTTGTTACAGTTGGAAGATCTTCAGTTATGCAAGTGAATCCCACACCTCCACAAAAAAGGCGGCGCCAGACTGCACCCAAACCGCCTAAGAGTAGTGTTCCGCCTAAACGAAAGGTTCCCATGGATGATAGCACTGTGTTGCATGGCGAGTATGTATTTTTTTTTTTTTTAAATTGTTAGGGAAAATTACATAAACCCCCCTATATTTTCGCCATTTTTGTGGTTTCATCACTATATTTCGGTTTCTTTAATGAAAGACACCCAAATATTAGCTGAAAAGCTGACAGGTAGCTGAAAAACTGGCTGTTAGCTGAAAAGCTAGTTGATAGCTGAAAAATATTTTGTATTTTCTTTTTGTTATGTAATTTTCCCTTATTCTTATGTTTGTTAGATTTTTGTATTAATAATTTTTTATTTTCTTTTTTGTGAAAGTATGATACGCCAGCAATTGACTGATACAAGTGACATAAGGAGACCTAGAAAGAAGGTTTCTTGTACTTGGGTTGAACTTTCAATGATTCACAAACAACTTTGGGAAGATGCGATTTTTCATGAAGCTTTATTTACTGGTGAGTTTAAATTTACAAATCGTGTAATTTTTTAGAGTAAATTACACGAATGGTCCCTATGATTTGTGGTAATTTGCATGTTTGGTCCCTAACTTATTTTTTTAACTCGGAAGTTCCCTACAGTTTGTTTTTGTTGCGTGCTTGGTCCCTATCTTACCTAAAAAGACTATTTTGCCCTTGATTTTTTAATCTATTTTAGGTAAGGCAGGGACCAAGCGCGCAACAAAAACAAACTGTAGGGACCTTCCGAGTTAAAAAAAATAAGTTAGGGACCAAACATGCAAATTACCCCAAACCATAGGGACCATTCGTGTAATTTATGAAAATTTCATTGGACTTAAGAAATTGTATTTACTTCTCAGGCATGTCAATCAAATTAGCTTCTTTGCACAGTCGATCATATGATTTAAGGAAAATTAGGGTTTCCCGTGTAGAATCTTCTTCAGATGCACCACCACCACCCTTGCAAACTGTTTCCCAAATCGATGAAAATGTCGAAAATGCCCCTGAAGAAAATCTCAATCTCCGTGAGGGTAATACCACAAATGAATACCCTAGTGAAGAACAAATGAATGCAACCAATGAAGTAAGAGAAGAAACTGCAACAATTGAGACAGATGCTGCTCTCCAAAGTGTTCAATCAGATGAAAAGAGTGAAAAGACGGATATGCCCTCTGTTGGAATGGATGCTTCTATAGATATAAATAGTAAATACATTGACAATAAAACGGATGAAATTAAGATTGATATTGGTTCACCTGAAAAGACATCAGAAGCAAAAGATGAGGTTGAAGTGGTGGTTGTGGGACCCGAGGTTATTGCTTCACCTGAAAAGACATCAGAAGCAAAAGATGAGGTTGAAGTGGTGGTTGTGGGACCCGAGGTTGTTGCCATTGATCAAGAAATGGAGGAAATTGGGAAAAATGAGAATGAGGAAGAAACCCCAAAACCAGAAGTGGAGTGTAATGAAAATAACTCAGTTCCCGAGGGTACTTTTGGTAAACAACTTGAAGCAGCAGATACTGAAAATGTAACTGAAGTTGAATCTTGTTCAAAACAAGTTTTATTGGATAATAATGATAAACAAGTTTCAGATCATCAAGATGCTTCTCCAGAAGAAACAAATATTGAAGAAGATAATAATCCCAAGAATAGGCTTGATGATGATGTAAGTTATATATATATATTATATATATATATATATATATATATCTTGTCAGTGCAAAAGACGTAAATGCCCTCAATCTAATTACATAATATATTTTATTAAGTCTTTGGCTTGTTTTTGTGCAGGAGGTGGAATATTCTCCAGTTCAGAATAATACAGGTTTAGAATGTGTATTTAATGAATATGTTTTAAGTATTTTGGTCTCATAGTTTTATTGCTAAGAATTATATTTTTTTTTTTGGGTATTTTCTTTTATCTTCAGATTTTCTGAATTTTGATGATGAAGATGACAATAATGCTGAAGAACCTGATGAAGATTTGAGTGATAATGAAGAAAAACGTTTAATTGATAACAGTGGATGGTCTTCACGTACCAAGTAAATAAAATAAATTATACTTTTTTTTTTTTACATTAATTTAAAAAGAAAATAAAATAAAACCTTTTTTTTTGTAGGGCTGTTGGAAAATATCTCCAAAATATGTTTAATAAGGAAGAAGAGAATGGAAGAAAGGCTCTTCGTATGAACAGCCTTTTAAATGGGAAAACTCGCAAGGAGGCATCAAGAATGTTTTTTGAAACACTGGTAAAAACTTTATAAATTTTTTATTTTTATGTTAAATATTTTTATAAGATTGTGTTAAAAGATGGGAATGATTTTTGTAGGTTCTTAAAACGAAGGATTATATCCACGTGGAACAGAGTGATGCCTTTGAGAACATTGAGATATTGCCACGATCGAAGCTTCTAAAATCAGACTTTTGATCTGATGGAAGAAAAGAAAAGTTATGTTGTGTAGTTTGTTTTAGTATTTTAAGCATTTTATATGGAGAGGATCATATATTTATTTGTAATTAATCTGTAAAATAATTACCTTCTGTATTATTGTTAGATGCTAACATGTCTTGTCAGTTCTTTATTAATAATCTTGTTTAGATGCTGTGTGTATTTTTAGTCAATTAATTTCTTTCGACTTGTTATTCGAAAAAATATGTTTCTCTTGAATGTTGCATTATTACTAGTATGACTTTATGTCGAGTATAATAATATAACAATGAAAAAGAAAAGCAACATTTGTTCATAAAGCTCATCATCATTAATACATACAACATTAAAAAACAAAAAAGCATGGCCTAAACAACGTTGTCAAAGATTAAATATTGGTTGTGAAAATAAATTATAATCTACAGTAATGAAAAGAATGTATAAAAATTTCTAAAAATAATAATCAGAAATCACTGGATTTGAAGCGTCTCAATTGCCTTCTTCCATTGGAATGCTCTCTCTTTCTGATCCTCAAATGACATAACTTTCTTTGGCTGCATAAAATCAGAAATTCTTCATTTCTTTCCATTACACTATTAATTTTTTTCAAAGTACAATTTTCTTAATAAGAAAATACTTAAAAGTACAATGTTGTAAATTGTAATATAACTCACCAAGCAAATCTTGAAATTTGTGGGGCTGGTGACGTGGATTCTAAGGTCATTGGAATTATCTGACCAAATTATGTTTCCTTTTGTGACTGACTTTGTGGGATCCACATAACTTTGTGGGGCTGGTGACGTGGATTCTTGAGTGTTCCCAATCCCACTTGAGTGACCCTAAAGAAATAGCAATGTACTTTCATTTATTTGTGTATATTATATATGATGGAATAACTTATTTGAAAAAAGATTGAAATTACAATGTTAAAAATGAACTTTTTTTTCGAAGTACCATGCGTTATAACAAAAAAAAAAAATTGGAACTATTATTTTGTAATAGAAAGAAATGGAAGTACATTTTTATTTCTTGCATTTAACCATTTTATGAAATATTAAATGGAGTATATATCGTTACCTCTAATGCAAGTTGTGGTGTAAATTATGCCAATCAATTGATTTAAAAAAACCATGATTCTTGAGTGAAGAATTACCATCATGTCCTCCACCAAGTCTCCTTGTAGGATCAGTATCCATCTGATGTAAGAAGCAGATTCTCAGGCTGTAATTAACTGATTGTTAGAAACATTTTAATGTAAATAAAAAACTATGATTATTTGAACAGATAAATACCTTAATGTCTCGATGTATTAATCCCAAATTATGGATGTATTCAAGAGCTTCTACAACTTCAGCTGCATAGAATCGAGATTCATCCTCCATCAATCGACCTTTCTGCCATTGTTGAAGGAATGTGATTAAAAGCTTTTATGATACTATATAACAAGATGCATTGAAGCTGTGAAACTTACTTACCCTGGTTATTTGATCGAAGAGTTCTCCACCTTCACAGGACTCGAGCGCCATGTCTTCATCAATTAACCAAATCCAGAATCAATTCAGGAAAGAATAGATGAAATAACTCGGAGAATGAGGGGAATTTTAGGTTTGTATGATGGATATTTGCTTACATAGTGAATCGTCATCTTGAAATGTGAAAAACAGTCGGATAATTCCAGGGTGATCAAGCTGATCGAGTACAAGCCTCTCCAACTTCACATACGGAGCTTTGTTTTCCTTTGTGATGAACTTTTTATCCATGATCTTCAAGGCGTAAAGTTTTCCTGTGTCTTTCTTTCGTGCTCTCACTACCTGATGTCATCATCGAATTTCATTTGTAAACAGATGGTGAAGCGCAGAACTAGAGATCAATGAGAGAAACCAAAGAAAACTGAACCTTCGAATACGAACCATAGCCATAGATCTTTCCCAATTCGAAATCATGGATGGTGAAATTCTCTTGTGGTGCCCTAAATGCCAAGTTTGTTGATCGATTGGAATTACGATCGACATGTTTGTCTGTAACGTTCTGAATGCTTAGCTTAGAATCAAAATCCTTCTCCATTTCACCTCCAACCATAGCCAACATTTCTCTCCTCCGTTTCCCCTTTAATCCTGTCTTAGTGAAGATGAAAAAGAAGAGATTTTGTTCGCATTCGTCTGTTTCTCTCTCTAGAAACCTTGGAAACAGAGGGTGATGCACAGATGAAAGGGGAAACCAAGGACCGTTGAACAACAGAGTATATGACATGAACAAGACATCAGATCAGACAAGTATCTCTTTTTCCAACTGAAGGTAGTCTGACAAAGCCAAGTATCAATTCAAATAAACCCAGATAAAGCAATTTTGATTCATCAACATTCAAAACCCTAAAAAGCAAAATCGAAGGGAAGATGGAGGGATCGAGTGAGGAGGGCATGTGAATTTGTGTGATTATGTTGTTTGCTTCTCTCTCCAGATGTATATTTATCTTTGTATGCATATTCCTCCTAAAAAGGAGGGAAATTTTGTGAACGTAAATACTGTAGTAAGTATGAAATGAAACGTGTATTATTCAATTCTATGAATTGATCTTTGTTTGATGGTATCAAACTATACCGAGATGATTAATAAAAATAACCTTTACCTTTCTTTTTAATTTGAAAAATAAGCAATTTTTTGGAAATGTTATCTTTCATACTATTTAATTATCTTATGAAGTTGGTGGTGTAGGTGTCATTTCGTAATCTGATGTCTTGCATTCCGTACTGACGCAGTAAATTCCAAAGTACAATCCATAATGTACGAACATTTCGAAGTGACGCCGCGGAGAGCAATGGGTGCAAATAGACAGTTCTATGCAATATATTGTTCAAGACTACATATGTTACGGTGTAGATTTAACTAATGATAACAATTTTTATAGGTTGATTATGTTCGTTGCTTCAAAATCCAAGTTATATACTAACCATATTTGTCTGTTTTTTTCAATATTTTGGACTAAACATAATAATGAAGATTATTGACGATAATGATGTTATATATTTTCTTAGTTTTGTAACTAGTATGTCTCATAACACTGTATAGTTGTTTGTTTAATTTTTTTTTTTTGGAAATTAACATTAATGGATTTCGTAGGAGAAAATCGTTTTGGTGGCAATGAGTTGTCCGGTGCAAGAAGTAACCAATTATGTAATTTAATAGTTACGACACTGAAATAGGTTCCATGTTACGATGGGTGGTACACGGACGTAATGTTAGGTATAAATGTAAGGTTGTTGATGATGAGGGTCAAACGATTGATGGTGACAAATCATCAATCAATCAAGTAAAATTGATCATGCAAGTTTACTTCAATAGGAAACTCGTGAAAGATCTTTATGATTAAGAATCATGATAGAATTGTATTGTTAATAATATATGATCTTAAAGGGTCACACCAATAACAACTTGCTTCAAATAGATTACTTATAAGAATTTGATTCTTAATAAATATTCATAACTCTTATAGTTAAATGTAAATTATTTATTTTAGGAAAATAATAATTTTCAATATCAAATATCATAATATATCATAAGGTATGATTTATTAATTCATGTACATCATTTTTGACTAAAATGACTTTTGTTTTTTAGTTAAAAAGATAAGAGTTTATATCTTATAAATATTTACAAATATTTGTCTTCTTTCTCATTAAAACCGTGGATTAGAATATGGGAGACAAGAGATGGTCTCTTGATTATTTTAACATGAAATACATGCTTTAGAAGCATGTCTTGACAATATGATTAAGATGTAGGCTTTTAGAGGTATGACCGCAGAGTGTTAAGAACTAATTGGTAAAAAAGAAGAAGTTAAAGGCTTTCCTTTGGTTCTCTTTCCTCCCATTCTATCCGTGACTTTCATGTACTCTTTCTCTCATTCTCTTTTCTTGCAAAGGCTTGAAAGATAAGATACTTGCATGTTCTCTTTAAGTCAAAACTTGGTTTTGTCTTAAAGCTTAAAAGTTTAGGACTAGCATCCATTCAAGTTGGTAATTGTTGGTGTCATACTTTGGAGGATTTCTTCTTGCACTCTTGCCTTCTTCATCAAATTTCTAGCCTCCCCTTGAGGATTCAAAGACATCCAAAGTTGTTTATCTTTTTTCCTTTATGGTTGTAAAATCTTTCTTTTGCTTGCAAAATGGTTCTTTTGTGGGTATAAACATGTTTATGTTGGTCAAAATTTAAATTGCTTCCGTGGCTGTCTTTGAATTTTTGAAACTATTTTGAATAAAACCCAACAACTGGTATTAGATTCATCTTTACAAGCTTGATTAGATTTTTAGATTATTTGGATAATCTTAGTTTTTTTGGAAATATGTATAACTTGTTTAGTAAAAATATGTTCATACATATTTTATATAACAACTTTATAATTTTTATTGTTATTTTATGTGACCAAAAGTTTACATGTATTTTTGGTCATAAAAGTTTTCTTAAAAAAACAAAGGTTGTTTTTATATGTTAATGTATATTTAGAGTGCATAAACAAGCCATAGACCATTTGTGATGTTATTTGTGTTGACTTGTTAAAATGGTTGTAATATTTATTCATTCATATGATATGTAATAATTAAATAGATAGTTTTCACATTGTTTATTTTTGTAAGTAATAGATTAGTATTAAAATAGTTTATTTTTAAAAAAATATAGCAAGATTGAAAGTGGTGACCATTTTGGAGCATGTCAACCTTACCCACGTTTTTATGAAAGGTTTTATAACCTTCATGAAATATTCAAGAACTTGCAACAAGGAGTTGTCTAAGCAAGTGACAGCATGAAGAACATCATTTAGAATATTTGGCCCCTTTTGATCTTTTAGGAATGGACTTGCCATTTTTGTGATGACTCACAAAAATGTCACTAGTTTATGGTTTGGTTTATGCACATATGCATATTTGCGTTGTTTATTTTATGTCATTATTATGTTTGGTTGAAAAATAGGAATTTTGCATGCTTGATGATATTTTAAACATAAAAGACATTACATGGAGTTTGATTTTCAAAATATGTGTTTTAAACATAAGATGTTTAAAATGGTTTATAAAATGAGTTTTATTATTTAAAACTCTAAAACGACAAATTTTGAAGATTAAAGTCTATAAATTTAAAATAGAGATTTTAGAGACTTATCCAAACTCCAAACATTTAATAATAAAATGAAATTTTATTAAAAAGACTAAAAATTGGTTCTTTAGTACTTGAACGATAAAATGTTAATATAATATACTAATTTTAAAATTGATCTCGAAAAAATAGTTAATAAATTTGGAATTTTATTTAACTATAAGAACCTAATATGAGAAATATGATTTTTTTTCAAATTAAGTGTACCATGTAATATTGGATGCATGCAATATTCATGACACCGTATGTTTTATACTATAATTATAAAACATTTATAAATCCCTTTCAAAACACAAGTCTATGCCATCCAATTATAGGAACATTAACACATCATTTGCATAATGCTTGTGGGATAAAGGTCAACTAACCACTTGTTGTATCTTTTGATGGTCGATGTGTATTCACGATTTCTATAACTAGTTATGGGCCAATTACACAAGTTTCTCTAATTGGTTGACTTAATCAGATATATTTTGTGATAAATGTCACCTAAGCAAAAGAGGTCTGAGGCATAGATTGGATCAAACATGTCAATTATGAAAAGGGTTGTTAAGGATCCCATATAGCTAAGAATTATATTTTGATGTGTTAAGTAAATCATTACTTAGCTTGTTGAATTAAATAAATGGGATAAATGTCACCTAACAATTTACTTGTTTTGCAACTTGGATCATGGACTTTAATAATTAATATTTTAGAAACATAAAGGGTATTAATTAAAGAATTAAATACTAAATAAAACTTTGTTAAAATTTTTAGATGACCCCATTGTAACGTCCCAAAAATCAGAGTAACATTTTTCATTTTTAAAACACAATCCAAAAGCGCAAAAGTTACCAAAACATTGTTTACAAATCATAATAAGTCAAAACATCGAATCAAAGTATCAATCAACATAAATTGCGGGATGATGTGTACAATCACGCCTTCGCCTTTCCCCGCTCATCAGAAGTACCTGAACATTGAAATCCAAACTGTAAGTCAAAGCTTAGTGAGCTTCCCAAAATACCCCATAATACAAACAATTAAAGATATAACACAAGCATGCATACATGGTTTGTTGGTCCTTGACATCCACCCAAATATGCCGGGTTTGTTGGTTTACAACACAGAGAAATAACACCTCAACCCAACCATCTAGGGTTTTTTGGCTCGTGGCCTCAACCCAACCATCCAAGTTTGTTGGAACATGGCCTCAACCTCACCATACCAGGTATGTTGGCTTCCAGTCTCAACCCAACCATACCAGGTTTGTTGGCGCACGACCTCAACCCAACTACCCATATATCGACATATATACCACATATCACACATATAACTATCATATCAATCCTACATTCTAAGATACATAAACACAATAAACGGGTCGGCCTTGGTGCCTTAGACCCATTGACATAGTGAGAGAACTCACCTCTTAAACCGGACATAAGCTGAAATAAGTCTCGACTCCAAATACCGGCTCTACCCTTCAATTATTATGCAAATCATTGCCCAACCTTAATTAATACTAGATTACCCAAAATATCCTTAGGTTCAAATTGGTCAAACTCAACAAATCAGCCGAGTCGATTCAGTCTCGTACGCAGGGCGTACTTGAACTTACACGGGGCGTACTCGATCGCGACCGAACAGTCGGGTGCCTAACCGCGTACGCGTGACGTACCATCTGGTACGCCCAACGTACGCATCTGAATGTTCTTAACCCAATAAGTGCTTAATGCATAAGCCTTTTTTGTCCAAAATACAGATACAAGTCCCAAATGTTGTCCTTGACCATAAAGTTTCCAACTTTATGGTCGTGCATGGCCCTAATGCGCTTAACACTAAAAATCCCAACATCTTAAGCCATTAACGCAACCAAACTCTTGCATGGGGAAGAAATAAGGGTCAAGAACACATTTTTATCACTCTAAGCCTAGAAAAACGTCCAAAAGGACAAC